TCGCTTTTCTCCCGAGGCAAAGTGGCCACTCCCTCCGTGCTGAGGAGTGCGTACCGGGACCCTTTGTGATGACTTTCGATTTTAGGGTCGAGTGACCCTCCTCGAAGTCAGGGCACTGCGAGCCTGTTACTCAGTATATTAGTTCTATAACGGATATCAAAAGAATGAAGGTAGCCTGCTGCTGGAGAGATACCGTGCTCGTGGAGATCCCCGCTCGAGATAAAGATATTAAGGCTCATAAAACAGGCTTTCTGAGTGTGTATACCTACCCATTCTCTTTGGGGTTGGTAGGGCTGTCCTCGCCCCTAATTGACCCCGTGATTCTCAACTTCTGCCGGAGTTACCAGGTGACTCTAGGTCAAGTCCACCCTTCGTTCTGGCGCGCGGTTTATATGATCAGGCATTATTCACGCATGATAGAGGGAATGCCCTGAACCCTGAACCATTTGATCCGGATGTATAACCCTCATCTGCTTCGTGGAGGCTTAGTCAAGCTTCGCTGTCGAGCCTCAAGGTCCTTTTTTGCCCCCACCGAGGAATTCGGGGATGAAACGTGGTTAAGACATTTCGTTCGAGTGAGGACGTCTGATCTGATTCCAGCGAAAAAGATGTCGTTCCTTGAGAAATAGAACAATAGGCGTAAGTATACGTGGCGCCCTTGCCCTTTCTTGGTAACTTTTCTTTATATATCTGAATCTGCCTTTCTTGTCTTTTTAGTTGCAGCAATCTACCCCGGTGCGATGTCGGACCTTCAGGGTTGGTCGGTCGTTTGCACTCTATCTGCTCATATACCGACCAAGCGTGGCGGGACTTATCCCGAGCTGGATGGGAGGTCGGTGGCCCCTTGAGTTTTGATGCATCCGTGCATTTTGATGTAGCTTGATGTTAGTAGCTTTCTCCGTACTGTGCATTTTAACATCTGCATCTACACAGGTCTGGGAGGAACCCTACTGGTAAGGGGTGCCATCTATTGGAGGGGACACTCAAATGCATGACGAGGAGAGGAAGAGGCAGGAGAGCCTACTGCTTGAGCCGCCAGATCCTAAAGGGATCAGAGTGGAGGATTCCAAGGTTGACCCATTTGCTCTAGTATCCGGGACGATGGGAAATCCTCGTGCTAAAGGTGAGGGAGAAAGCAACTTTTCGGCACCCTTTGAAGAGCGTTTGGGGTTGATTGACCCTCGGGCCGTGGGAATAGATACTTCCGGATATGAGTCTGATGCTGGCGCGACTCAGATTCGTGGTGACGAGGCAATGGATTGGAATCGAGAACTGACTTTGAATTGACAAGTGGCCGGAGTTCTCCCCAAACTGGGATGCCCTTGACAGGCAGTTTAGAGGGTCCTCGAGCTGGGTCCCGGGATGAATAGAGGACGGAGATTTAGGTTAACCCCGTTAGCCCATTGGATATCGTTGATTCTCCAAAGGGGGATGTCCTTCCACCTTCCGAAATGCAAGAGGAGTATCGCGAGGAGCCTTTCATGGTGGGAGCACTAATCAAAGGTGAGACGCACTTAGGAGGCCGGTGATCATCCTTAAGGGTAGTTTCGAGGTCAACGCCTCATCTATTTTTGGCAAGATGGGTAGGCTTTGTGAGCGGGTAACTTCATCTAGCCTTGTTTGTTGCTTCAGGCTTCTCCGTCCTTTATCTTCTTAACTTTTTAATGCGATTTCAGGCCGAGGCGCTTTATAACCAGGCCCTCGCCCAGTGTCAGGATTAGGTGAGTCGTCGTGAGCGCGAAAAAGCTTTTTTCACCGAACAGGTTATCTATCCCTTGCTTTTGCTATCATTTGAGCTCTTGTAAAATTATATATATATATATATATATATATATCGCTTTTAACTCTTCGTGCCTCGATCTGTGCAGTTTGAGAAGGAAAATGCCCTACTGAGAGGGGAGCTTCGGGCCAGGGATGCTGAAATCTCTGAGCTTAGCCGGCGTGCGAGCGAGGCGTCTTCTAAAAGGGACAACCTCAGGGAGAGAGTTACCCTGATTGAGCGTTAGCTTCAGGGCACAAGGGAGGATAACGACAAGTATAAGAGAATTCATTCCGAGTTGGTGGATTCATTGCTCCGGATCAAAGTTGAGGCCGAGGCGCTTGTATCTTCGCATGGGGGAGGAGCGGTTGTCACAGATTCCTGCATTGAGAGGGCGTTCGAGGGGGCTGGCCCGAATTTGCCTTGAACCGTAGGTCATGCTTGGCCAGTTTTCCAAGGGCTGACCGTCGAGGAAGTATTGGAAGGCAGCTCGAGCAGGGTTAAAAATGGGGGTGGATCCCCGGGGAGGGGGATGCAGTCGAGCAAGGGCCATCGAGGGATCTGTAATCGCCTGGATGCAACTTTTGAGGTAGTTGGTTTGGCAATAGATTAGGATCTGCTGTTTTTTCCTATTGATCTCCCTGTTTTGTTGTACAATACTTTTTAATTTTGCATTTGTATGAGGAGAATTTTGCGACTTTATTTCCCTTTCTATTTTGAATTCACCAATGATTGGCGAAAAAACCTTAGACCTCCAATACAGCCCTATGGCCCTTTTGGGCTGGCTCGGGAGTTTGTCGCGTGGCTGGTTGATTTCTGCTTTCCCGTGCCCACGCCGTCGGGTGATGACGGTTCTTATCTTTTGGCCTTGGGCATTTTGCTGTTTCAACTATTTTGGGTCCAGTTTCCGAGTTGCATTGTGATTCGAGCTTTAATCGACCCTAAAGTTCTTTCCTGCCTGCATGGGCGGGCAACAATGACCTTTTGTTGCTTCGGGTCGAAGTGACCTTACAGGCACGTGGCCCGGAGGCTCACTCGACCGATCGACAATGGCATTTATGCCGTGCCTTTAGGCATGTTGCAGTTTAACTATTTCGGGTCCAGTCTCCGAGTCACATTGCGACTCGAGCTTTAATTGACCATTAAGTATTTTCGGACCGGCGATAGTGCCTCTTACGCTGTTTTGGTCGTCAAGACCTTTCAATATGTGGCCCAGAGGCTTTCATAGTTAACTATTTTGGATTCGGTCTTCGAATCGGGTTACGATTCGAGCTCATTTTAATCCTCAAGTTGTCAATTTGCAAGCTGGCGACAATGGCTCTTACACTATTTGGTTGTAGAGACCTTTTATTGTGCGGCCCGTAGGCTCATTTTGCTGGTGACAATGGATCTTATGCTATTTTTCCCGTGGGATTTTTGTAGGCTTTGTTTTCCGCTCATTAAGGTCTTTTGAAATAATTTTGCCTGATCCATCGTTGGTTCTAGAATAACCTCAATTTCAAGTCGTTATCGGTGATGTTTCGAGCACCTCGGAAGGTTCATAGCTTATAGGCTGAGTAGGTTGAAGCCTTTTTGATTTGGAGCTGACATGGTCGAAGCTCGTTTTTGCCTATTGAGGGAAGCCTGTTTTAACCGATTCTTTTCGAAGTATATTCGAAGTAGTGGCCTGCGATTTTTGTTTAGCGATGATCAGGCATCCCCGAGTCACGTTAGTTTGGCTGTATCAGCTGTTTTGACTGTAGCCATATGTATTTGGCCAGAGTCATTTTTGATCCCGAGTGATAGTTCAGGGGTCTACACCGAGGGTATGCCCTTTCAGGACTCTTACAAATGCGACGTATAGCTTGAACTTCAGGATTTTCATGCCTGTTGAGGTCTTACAGTTTGTCATGTCTGTTGAGGTCTTACAGTTTGTCATGCCTGTTGAGGTCTTACAGTTTGTCATGCTTATTGAGTTCTTACAGTGTTTGTTGTAATATAGAATAGATCTGGTTACGCTGAGTCTGCCCACTAGGGGTCTTACAGTTTCGGGTTTCCTAGTGCATGGCGATTGGCGATGAATGAAAGTCTCCGAGTCATCGAATTTTTTTAAGCTTGAAGACTATTTTTCGTGAGCTCGGAGTTGCCTTGTAGGGGTTTATGAGCCCGGAGTTCCGACCCTAGGGTCGTGCGGGTGCTGAATTGCTGACACTAAGTCTTCGAGTATCTTGGGATGCGTTCGGCGGAGAGGATCCTGTCGGGGGTATAATTGAGATTTCTTTGTTTGGAGAATAAGATTTTGAAAAGATATCCTTTTATTGCTTGGTGTAGATACATGCTATTTTGTTTTTGCGAGCTCAGCTCAAACGTTGTTCCCTATCGGAGCCTTGTTCGTCTTTTTCTCGGGGTAGGGCTAACTGCGAAAGAAATCTTGTAGGTTCCTCGAATATTTCTAGGGAAATGTATGGGCGCCGTCTCGTTAAAAACCTTACTGGAAAAAACCCGTTTCGGGGTAAAAAACCCGGTCAAAGGAAAAGAGTGCGACATTTGCTCAAAGACATTTGTGGGGTTCCACATCTGACCGCCCTAGTAGTAATACCGCTTAAGCATCAATACATTCCAGTTACTCAGAAGCTGCTCGCCCTCCATAGTACCAAGCTTATAGGATCCTTTGCCAACTATCCCAAGGACACGGTACGGTCCTTCCCAATTTTGTCCCAGCTTCCTTTCATTAGGGTTTCTGGTGTTGAGGGTCTTTCTTAGGACCAAGTCTCCGATTCCGAAGTATTGGAGATTTGTTCTTCTATTGTAGTATCTTTTGATTTTCTATTTCTGGGCAGCCATCCGAACTAGCGAGGCTTCCCGTCTTTCGTCGAGCAGCTAGAGAGAAGGGTGTCTCCCTGGTGCTTGATTTTGGAGTTGTCCGATACACCCACAACACCTCGGGCAACGTTTCTCTCCATTTTCCCTTGGCACTTTCCAAATTCTTTTTTAAGTTTTGAATGATGGTTTTATTTGTATATTCGGCTTGGCCGTTTGCACACAGGTGTTATGGCGTCGATAGGATTCCCTTGATTTTGTTGTCTTCAAGGAACTGTGTTACCTTGCTCCCGATGAATTGCCTCCCGTTATCGAATGTTATTTCGGACGGGATTCCGAACCGGCAAATGATGTGTTCTCATATAAAGTTGATGACCTCCTTCTCTTTTATTTTCTCGAAGGCCTGCGCTTCTACTCACTTCGAGAAATAGTCAGTCATAAATTAAATGAATCTGGCCTTATCTGGCGCCGTCGGCAAAGGGCCGACAATGTGCATCCCCCATTTCATAAATGGCCATAGTGATAAAACGGAATGCAGTTGTTCCCTGGGCTGGTGAATCATGGGAGCAAACCTCTGACACTTGTTGCATTTTCGGACGAATTCCCTGGCATCTTTTTCCACGCTGTCCCAATAATAGCCTACTCTGATCACTTTTCGGACTAAGGAATCGGGCCCAGAGTGATTTCCGCAAGTGCCCTCGTGGATCTCCCGAAGCACGTGATCCGTGTCACCCGGCCCCAAGCATATCTCCAGGGGACCATCAAAAGTTCTCCTGTAAAGAGCCCCATTTTCGTTGAGTGAGAACTTGGCTGCTTTGGTTCGCATGGCCCTTAATTCTTTGTGATCCGTGGGTAGCTTTCCGTCCTTCAAATAAACGATGTATTTGTTTCTCCATTCCCATGTCAGACTGGTGGAGTTAATTTCTGCGTGACCTTCCTCGACCACAGATTTGAACAGTTGAACGACGGTTTTGGGGAGCAGGTCTTCTTTCTCAGCGTAAGATCCTAGGTTCGCGAGGGCATCGACCTCGCAATTTTTCTCTCGAGGTACATGGACTAAGGTCCATTCTTTGAAGCGATGCAATGCGATTTGGATTTTGTCCAAATACCTTTGCATCCTGTCTTCTTGGGCTTCATAGCTTCCATTTACTTGGCTTACCACGAGGAGCGAGTCACATTTTGCCGCAACAGTCTCATCTCGCAAACTTTTGGCCAACTCTAAACCTGAAATCATAGCCTCATACTCGGCTTTATTGTTAGTCAATTTTGTGGTTTTTATGGATTGTCTGATTATGCCGCCAACGGGCTGCTTTAGGACTATACCGAGTCCGGATCCCCTTACATTTGTGGCACCATCTATGAACAGGGTCCATACCCTGGAGGATATGCCTGATTTTAATAAAATCTCCTTCTCTACCTCAGGCACGAGGGTTGGCGAGAAGTCGGCCACGAAATCTGCCAAGATTTGGGACTTGATGGCTGTCCGAGGTTGATACTCGATGTCATACCCTCCGAGTTTGATGGCCCACTTGGAAAATCGACCCGATAACTCAGGTTTATGCAGTATATTCCGGAAGGGATAAGTTGACAGGACACAGATACGGTGGCACTGAAAGTAAGGCTTCAGTATGCACGAGGCGCTTATTAGTGAGAGACCTAATTTTTCCAGATAGGGGTACCAGGTTTTGGCATCCCCCAAGGTTCAGCTCACATAATAAACAGGAATTTGTGTACCTTGATCTTCTCAGACCAGTACGCTGCTTACCGTTATTTCGGATACGGCCAGGTATAGGTATAGCACTTCATCCTTCTTGGGTGTGTGCAACAAAAGCGGGCTAGACAGGTTTCGTTTCAGTTCTTCCAGGGCGTGTTGGCATTCTGGAGTCCATTCGGAGTTGTTCTTTCTTTTGAGTAGGCAGAAGAAATGGTGGCTTTTGTCCGACGATCTCGATATGAATCTGCCCAGGGCCGCGATCCGCCCCGTTAGCCGTTGAACGACTTTTACGTTGTTTACCACCGTAATCTCTTCGATGACCTTTATTTTGTTGGGATTGATTTCGATCCCCTTGTTTGAGACCATGAAGCCCATGAATTTTCCCAAACCTACTCCGAAGGCGCACTTCTCAGGATTGAGCTTCATGTTATAGCTTTTGAGGATGTCGAAGGTTTCCTGCAAATGGGTCAGATGGTCCTCTGTCCGTAGAGATTTGACTAGCACATCATCAATATATACCTCCATTGATTTTCCTACTTGGTGCTCGAACATTTTGCTAACTAGCCGTTGGTATGTTGCTCCCGCATTTTTTAGCCCGAAGGGCATTATGTTATAACAATATGTACCGTATTTCGTGATAAATGAGGTCTTTTCCCTATCCTTAGGGTTCATCTGGATTTGATTGTACCCCGAGTAGGCATCGAGGAAAGTGAGGGTCTCGCCGCCGGCCATTGCGTCGATCAGGCGATCAATGTTAGGCAACGAGAAGGAATCTTTTGGGCATGATTTGTTCAAGTCTTTATAGTCTACGCACATCCTTAGCTTATTTCCCTTTTTTGGCACTACCACTATGTTAGCTAGCCATTCGGGATACTTTACCTCCCTGATGGATCCGATTTTAAGGAGTTTCGCCACTTCCTATTTGATAAAGGCATGCTTTACCTCGGACTGTGGTCTTCATTTTTGCTTCACGGGTTTGAATTTGGGGTCAACGCTTAGTTTGTGGGAGGTTATTTCCGTTAGGATACCTTTCATATCTAAGTGGGACCAAGCGAAATAGTCGATACTATTACTAAGGAGTTGAATAAACTCTGCTCTAAGTTCAGGGGTCAGCCCCGTTCCCAGGTAGACCTTGCGATCCGGGAGGTGTTTGATCAAAACGGTTTGCTCCAGCTCCTCGACTGTTGACCTGGTCGCGTTAGATTCCTTGGGGGCGACGAAGATTCGGGGTACGAAGAAGTCTTCCTCGTCGTGTTCAAGGGCCCGCATGCTTCCCTACCCATCCGAGGCCGGCATACGGGGGTTGGCGTCTTGTGGTGGACCGCGAAAATTTCCCTCGCTGCCCGCTTTTCCCCATGTATGATCATGATGCCATCCCTGGCGGGAAACCTTATCACCTGGTGCAAGGTCAAGGGCACTGCCCTTATGTTGTGTATCCAAGGTCTGCCAAGTAGGGCATTGTATCTAATGTCGCCATCGATGACGTCAAACTCGATGTTCTAGGTCGTGCCAGACGCGTCGATCGGGAGAATGATTTTTACCTTCGTTTCTTCTACGATCATGTTGAAACCGTGGAGGACTCGAGGGGTGGGAGCAACTTGATTGAGCAGACCTAGCTGTTCTACTACTTCTAACCTGATTATGTTGACCGAGCTGCCTGGATCCACGAGCACACGCTTTATTCTGGTGTTGTTTAAGAGAAACGAGATTACTAGTGTGTCGTTGTACGGTTCCATCATAGCTTCGAGATCCTCTTCGCTCAATATGACGGTTACTCCAGGTAAGCGTTCTTTGGATGACCCCTCCTCTGTAGCAGACATTCTCGCTTGTTTGGACACGGGTCCTCGGGGAACGTTGGCTCCCCAATAATCATGTGGACACCGGCCTCTAGGTCGGTCGTGTTCTTTTCTCAATCGCCTTTGAGGTTCCGACTTCCTATTTCCCTAGTCGAACCAGACGCTTCGTCCGGAAAAAAGAGATCTTTGGGAGAGAAAAAGCGTGAAAGATAACGTGCGTTTGTGCAATGGAACCTGCAAGAAAATAATCACTATTATTTTTAGCCCCACAGTGGGCGCTAAACTGTTTACTGTTAAAATGGTAACAACAATTTGGTTTGTAAATGTGATTCTAAAAATACGTGATCTATTCCCAAGATAGTTGTTAGAGCAGTTGATGCTTGTAATATGGAGTTTAAATATTAAAGGCGAACTGAAATGAGATAGTAATCGAACCGAAGGGCCTGCTGCCCGGGTATAGGTCTGATCGATGGGGGACCTCGGGGCCAAGGTCGAGCTTGAGCTATCGGGGATAGTCGGTGATGGGATAATAGTTGAGGATATAATTAAACAAGGATCTTCGTGGCCAATACTAAGCAATACGATGAAGAACTAGTAAGAAAGAAATGGAGATTAAGGCGACTTCAGGCTAGTGAGAACAAGCAAGTTAAAAAGAAAAGAGAAAGAGAGAGGTATTATTGCACTTGTGGAGAAATGGAGCAAAATCAGTCGAGTGTAAAGTAATGGGGATCCCCTTAATATAGGAGGGGTATCCGTTATGGTACAGAACGTGGTAATCGTAAAGGTATGGAGATAGGATGGCTAGACATGACATCTTGAAAATAGGCCCCGGATAGACCAACCATGTCAGGTTTAAGTCGCGTACCTTGGGAACCCCCCTCTCACCTGTCATAGCTTGCTGTACCTGTCAAAATACGATATCCTTCGGACCGATATATATATCAAGCCTCGAGTATGAGTTTCGACCTTGGCTTCAAGTTTCAAGGGGCACGACCGCGAGATGGCTCTATGACGGGGGGAATCAGGCCCCTAGATTCGCCGTATACACTAACCTTGTCTATTCTTCCGCATATTTCCCCAATTGGACCATGCTAAATATTTTTCGTCCTTTGTTAGATCGTCTGTATAGTCGTGCACTTTTTTCCTCAAGTTGGCCATGATTCTTTGGTCCCTTTCACTTCTTACAGGTATCTCAATGTCTATTCTCATTTCCCGGAGTTGGGCTCTTAGGGCTTCATTTTCACGAGCTAACCTTTTCTTCTCTCCCTCATCTTCGGCGGCTTGCAGATCTCTCTCAAATTTAATGGCTCTAATTTGATTTTCTAATTTCCTGATGGTGACACGATATTCTTTTTTTTTTTGGCTGCCCAAACCCACTGTTCTTGTGCCCCTTCTGTGAATTGTTGGACATGAGGCCTATTGGCGAGCCGTTCCGGCTTTTGATTGACCAAGATCTCTTACCATACCATGCCATATAGCTAGACTCTACCTTCCCGGATGATAAATCCCGCACCTGAGTCTGTGGATCCAGAAACCTACATTAATGCCAAATCTGGCGGACCTTTTCTTCCGGAAAAGCAGCCCCTGGGCGTAACTCAACAACCTGTGTACTCAAATCCTTATCATGAGGGACCGTTTAATACCTTCCCAACTGACATAGAACCTTATGTCGAGCGTAAGGCTGAATACTCCGAAGACCCATCAATAGCAGAAAGCAAACATCAGCAGACATGTAGATAACCTCTTTGATCGAAAGCCAACTGAAAGTCTACTCTATTTGATTTGTAGTTAGTGAACACAGATGTGTAAACCAAGCCTCAGTACCCTCCGACAACTCATAGCCACTTATCTTTGTTTCTGTATTCCTTAATGCAACTGAGTTCGGTTAGCCCATAGTTCATGTATCTTGGGTGGTGACAAAGATGCTTCATAAGCCACATTTGCAATAACAAATTACAACCCTCAAAAAAAATTGCGCCAGCTCGATAAGCGGTTAGAGCTCAATAAATTTCTATGAGAATCATCGGCACTAGAGTACCATTTGCCTTCTTGGACAGAAAGTTAGCCACCCCTGCAAGGCCCAAATCCATATGTGCGTCCTTTCTTGGGAATATCAGAGTGCCCAACAATTCAACTATGAAGGCTAAGCCTCGGCGCGACTCCCACATGTTTTTCCTCCCTTGATGACAAAGACCAGTGTCTGGGGCCTCAAATCCGTGTTGGAACACATACCGACTATATAGAAAATGGAAGGTACAGTAACCTTTGGCTGAATTTTCACTTTTAATTTGTCGGTTAATGATCAAAAAGTCTAAAAATTTGTAAGGGGTCATAACTCTCGGGGCTATTGGATACTGATTCCTAGGACTCCTGCCATATTGGCATAACCTGCTATCTCCTCTAGCATAGGGGTCAACTTAAAATCCGAGAAGTGAAAAATATTATATGTCGGGTCCCAGAACGATATCAACGCCTCAATCAGATCAACCATGGGCTTAATCTTCAAAAGTCCTGTGAGACCACCTAATCCCTTGGTCACGGAACGCTGACTGACCTCCCATAGGTAATTCCACCACATGTGGAGTCTTAATGGAATCTCATCTATGACCCAAAAAAGGTAAATTCTCAACAGTGCTCATTCTACACGTAAATTAGGACAAAGGGCCCAAACCGACACTGTTTCCAAAATCACTAAGTGGCTAAATTTTAAAATTTAGTTTTAATAACTTGGCGACAAAACATGGGATGTTTTGCAAATATGTCCCTTTAGCGCTTGAAGACAGTTTTTTGGGCTATTTTTTTCAAATGGTGTTGATTAAGGGGAAAAGGCTGACTTGAGTTAACAATCTGGCTATTCTTGCAAAAATAGCCCTCTGGCATCCTAGGAGAACGTTTTGAGGTTCTTTTGACAAGAACAACCTAGGGTGATGACCATGTTTCAAAAAATTTACCATATTCCCATTTTTGGTTATCTTTGCAAAAATGGGGTCGGACCTGATGTGGGTTGCCTACGTATCTCATATCCAGTGAGAATCAGACGTGCGTAGTTCGGGAAAATTTTCAAAATCAGGGAAAAGGTCATTTTTTGAAAATTTTGAATCATTTTGTAACAACCTTCTAAAAAAAATTCGGTAGAGTACCATGATTTTCTCTTTTTTTTTTTACAAAAATGGGAAATCTTAGGAATCGGGTAAATTTTCTTTCTCCTAGTTTTTCTTGATTTTCTACCCCTATTTTATAAATTGGTCACCATGAAAACCAAAACAAACAAAAATGCAATAAGTAACACGTAATATGCATCGAGATGGTCTTTTATTTTGGGGGTACATCTGTCCTAGACGGACCCAACACCTGTGTTGATTCTTCAAAGTCAAATGCACGTGATACAAATAAGCGTACCTACTAGGGATCCGGCATGAGGCTTTCTTATTCTATGTTTAAACCTTGCGGTGTGGAGTTCTAGATAAGGCTTACCCAAGCGGACAACTCAAGAGGGGAGAGGGGGGGCAGCGTACCGGAAATTCAGAAGCTTCACCAGCTTTGCAACTAGTCCGAACCTCATTCTAAAATTAGGGTATGACATCGAACATAAAAGAAGCCACATGAAGCTCAAACTACACAGATGATTTAGAAGACTTAGAAAGAAGAAAGCTATCGTAACAGTTTTATATACAGTTCAAACAATATCAAAGTGGTAAAGAGCGACATTTAGCACATTATGCCCAAACTCGTAAAATCAAACATTTACAAGAAATCTAAGTATAACAGTTATTCTAAGCTTGAATTTTGAACCCCGAACTAGAGATTCTTGGTTCGTTCTCCAGTAGAATTGCTAGAGCGGTCACAACTCATTTTTTCCCGAAAATAAGGAGTTTTTCCAATTAAAGTGATATTATTTGAAAAACATTATTTTATTTTAATTTTTAGAGTTGCCACTTAGAATTGTTTAATTAACAGTGTTCTAAGTCACCAATTATTTGTGAATCCCAAATTAAGGAAAATTTTGACTCTATTTATGGTCCGCGAACACAAAAGACTGGGCAAAAAATTCTGTTAATCCAGGATAAGGTGTGAGACACTCCAGGATTCCGTGGTTCTAGCACGGTCGCTTTACAATTACACGTGGCTTAATACCTGATTATTACATGTTTTAGACATATTATGCATTCTTACCTCTTACCGCTTTTAATAATATATTTAAATTATTTTTGGTATTTTATTGGAATTATTTTAAATAAGTTACGATGTTGTATACTTGTTGTTTTGGCACATATTGCAAATCGTACCGCATGAAATGCACCCGCAATTCATAACATGTTCATTTTATTATTAGAAGTTGGGGTCGAGTCACGCACACGTGCACTCAAGTTTGGGTTACGTATTATGACTATGCCACGGGAACCCTACCCATAACCATAATAATTTTTTATTGATTGCGCCTAAAGCAAACTATAATATTTATAAATTTGATTA